TGGTAAAAAAAAAAAAAAAAAAAAACCCGGCAAGTGACTTCAACTTCCAACAGTGTATTTTGCCAGTACGTTTTATTGAAAATCTGCGCGAGGAACGATAGCAATTTAGCGGGATCGCATAGCAGTTTTGAACGAAATTCAACCTTTAAATTGGAAAACTGTTTGGAAACGTATCAAAGGCAGCGTAAACTCCTTTTCATTTTATAGAACTTCATATTACGTTATTTATTGGAGTCTTTATGCGCCGTTTCTGGTCCCTACATTCTTTCGTCAATGGTTATCGAACGTATCGATTTTATGAAGATTTTACGTAAAAGTATTCGCAGCATTTAATTAACGATCGTCGAATAAAGTGTTAACAAGTTGTGTGATAAGTTCGCCCGATTCTTGCACATTTTAAGGCAAGTTATAGAGAAACGTTACTTACGTTAATCGCAGTGGATAAGTAACGTTGTTGATCGTTGATCAATAACTGAAAATTATTCCGATTTTCTTTGACTTTACGAGCTTCGAGATTATCGCAACATCTACTATATCGTTACCATCGAAACGTTAATTGTTTCAATATTTGGAGAATCGTAATATGTGCGAACAGGGATGTAGAAACGTAAATATGTACTGGAATTTTTCGATGAAGCTTTGCAGCGATGGATGGCGTCCGAACGAAAGCTATTTAAAAGACTTGTGAAAGACTTAACACTTGTAAAATACATCGTATTTTTTAACGAAACCCTCGAATTTTACTTCATTGCCGTTTGGTTGTTTAAGCGAAAATGTTTATTAGATCCTTTACGACGCAAATGGTAATATCACGAATTTCATTTTACTGCCAATTTCTGCTGTCGCAAATAACGAGACAAACTGATCTACGCCGTCGTTCAGGACTCTTAGCGCGCCTACCGTTTTTCATAAAGCTATCATTACCTCGTGTAAATTACAAAATTCCAAGTATATCGTATTCCTTCTTTAGTAAAACCGTCAATGTATCAGTATCGAACGAAGTAATATTTCTTCGTATCTCTCAACGATTACGTAATTCTGCTTGATTTTCTATCGCGCGTAACAATAAAAAAATAAGAATTTGTAATTTGTTTCACGATCCTTCGTAAATCTCGTCTCAGTTTCGGTGGAAATGAACAGCTGTATATAAAAGTAGGATACCGAATCAACGTAACGACCGAAACGGTCGTTTCAAAATCTTTCTCGGAAAAAGGACGTGGAAATACTTTGGTACGCCGAAGGTCGATCCATTTTTCAAAGAAGACGATAGATGCCTGCATTCGTGACTGTTTCATGGTCGATTCGAACGTGGGAAGAGCGCAAACAGAATGTAAGAACGGTCGTGCCAGCTGTCGTGCGTTATCCCACAGTTGCATTCTACGGAGCCTAGAATCTCATCTAGGCCCTTTAGCCGGCCTATGTTGAAAGAGTAGGGGCGCGGGGAGGGTTCGTTTAACCTGGAGAGCAAGCAGGTGCGTTCGTTCAACTCGCAACTAGCGTGCAGTTTACCTGCGGGAGCGTCTGCCAGCGCATCGTCGCGCGGAACGTTCGTGTCTCGCTCTGCTTCCTCGTGGTCGTGCTGTTCCACGCGTACATTCCATCGGAATTATCGTTTTATAGCGATACAGTGTCGCGTCACCGGGGACCTCGATGCTTCGCCTCTGTCAGGTACGTTAGAATCGATTCTCGACAGTGTCGTGTCTAGGTTAACAGTTTGTTTAACCTGCTTTCGCGCATTCGCTGTCGCTATAAATGCTTTGCAGTTTTGCACTTGTCAGAAATTTCTTTGCTTCGAACGTTTGACCGAACACGCGTTGTCCGTTATTTGCTCCGTGTTCTTAGCTAATTTCGTCGAAGAAAAACGCGACAGTCGTAGTCGATAGCGTTACGCATTTACAATTAGACAATGAAGAAGATGCGAGTCAAGCCAGAGTTCACGTTGAACTTTGTTACGGATACGACCTCTCTTTATCGAATCGGTACTCGGATTCGTGGCATCAGTGTGACTCTGTGATATAACGTAATTGATTAATCGAGGAAATTGCTAAGGCTGGCTAAATTAATACGTATCGAGCGGTCAGCGTGCTTCGTTATCTATTTATAATCGTATCTGTATCGGACACGCGGCCGTTAGTCGACGATCGTACGACGTCTCGAGGTGCATGCAAATTTCGATAATTTGAAAAAATGACACGTAAATGCGCGTATACGTACGAGACGTTCGATACTTGTACGTTTTTGCATCGTCGGAGCCGATGTCACAACGGATGTACAAAGTGTTTATTATGCAGTGAATAACTACAAAAAAAACTTGTTAAACGATATTTTTAAAAAGAAATATACCGTACATTTGTTCAAGTTCGTGGAACTGTCGAAGAAACGAAAGAAATACGTATTCGAATAGGAAGAACGTGCAATGAAAAGAGTAATAAAAATAAAAGCGTAATAGCTCGGTATTCGGTTTAAATATGAATTTCAAAATGTAAATGTGTCTGACAGTCTGCGAACGAATATTTGGGTAGTCACGCGTATACGTTTTGTACAAAAGTCGAGCAACAATTTCCTTGTCGAAATTCCAAGAGTAGGTAGCATTTGCAGTATCGTTCTTCCATAGAAACAAAGAACGCACGGTGAAAGTGCTTTTTCGAGTTTTCCCTCGTATCTAATGTAGAAAATAAAGGACGATCGTTAGCTAATTGAGAGAAAATACCGAACAACGACGTCTAGATCGATAAAGTTTCTACGCTGTAGATATTTTACTAATATTTTCCCAACTACGTAAAATATTCACGATTCGACCGGATTATCGATCAAGCTATCTATAGCGATTTAATTCGAGTTTTATTTCGAATTTTACGATTATTTCTGATTCGAAGAAACCCACTTACGTCGGTCGATCGAGCGTCGATATGGCGAATAGCATGTTTACAGAGATATAGAGTGGGCCAGAACGAGGAATAGATCGTAAGATGATCGTTTCGCGCACAAAGTACGCCGTACTTGGAATATTTTCGCAGAAATCGGCGCGAATGAACGCGTTGAGAGTGCAACCGTTGTTCTCGGCCGTTGAATACGAAGCGACGCTGCCGTGAAAGCGTGAGTGCTCGTTTTTAATACGCCAGTCCGATGAATATTTCAAATGGAACTTTAATCACACGGGGAGGTCCGCGTGACAAGATAACGTTAGTTGTTTCCTTTCTCACTTTGCCAGTTCGTGCGACGCGTCGTCATACTACCTATCTTTTGAAAACGACCGAGCATTGAAATTCCCCGCCAAACAACATTACTCTAAACCCGTACGTCCTGTGCTTTGAACAGGCGATGCTGATTTTTATAAAGCTTGCCACGAAATATGCACATTGAAATACTTAAAAGGTGTTTCTCTTTCTTCTTTTGCGTCGGGTTGCACGATTAGTTTTCGAAAGATATTGTTTTGGGAAATTAAAATGACAACTACCGAATGGTCGTTGAATTGTGTAAGAGAAAGAAAATAGATGGAATGGAATTGGATTTCTGCGTTCCAATTCCACTGGATTGCCGTGGCTCTAATTTAATCGATGAATCTTTCATTAATAAAGTCTGCCGCGCGCGGCGCTATCTTTTTTTATTAATTCGATAAAATTCCCAGAGCACGTTGAAAAATCCTCCAGCTATAGATAAAAGTGGCGAGTTATTCTTCGATAATGTAATCTTTACGTTGTAAAATATCAGCCACTTTCGTCGATATCAGTTATACGGTTCTCTTTGCTATTGCAAAAAGAGCCTTTGTGCCATTCACCATGCATTTTCCACTCGTTTCTCGTATTCCTTTTCGGTTGCGCTGATTGAATTTTCTTTTAATCCTTTTCGCATAGAAACATGATTCGTTAAAACGAGCAAAGATACGATTTCAACACTTTCGTCGAATCTACCGAATTTCCAATCGATTAATATTGCTTTCGAGAAAAAGCAGAGTTTAACGGTTAATGTAAAACGCTGTAACATTTGCGAGTCTCGATCCTTTATGCGATCAACGAGATTTCAAACGTCAATCGTAAAAATCTATGGTCTTTCCACTCGATCCTACCGCTATGGTTTTTGAAATTTTTATATCTCGATCTACCTCCTGTTTCAGCAAACAAAAAACACTTTTAACGTTTCAACAAACGCTTCAGTTTGTCATTCTGTTTGCCAGACATTCTGAGATTTCAGAAATTTGTTCGGAATAAAAAGGCACCGTCGACTCGAAAATGAACGATCGTCTACCTACTTCGTTGTAACGCGAGAAAAAGTAACGATAAATCTTTTACCGGAAAGAACGAAAATTACAATTACAATGTTTAAACGTACAATTTAACCGCCCTGTTCTCCCCCAATTGTTTTGCCATTTCCACCTTTTGCGGAACACACGGCGTACCGTGAACGAGCTAAATCAACTCGCCAACTGGTCACACAAATGGTTATAGTATTCGATATTCTTCAACAACGATACCGCACCTATACGCGTAACTTGTTAGTACTACGATACTCGCCCAACTATGTACTCCTTCCATGAAAACGAAATAAAAGTAGAGTATGTGTGTCGAAGCGGTTAGAAAACAATTTTATTACTGCAACCACTTGTAACGAGTACAGTCCCGCGACTCGGCAGTCTTCGTCTTCCCACGCGAGAAAATCATTCTAGTTTTATTATAGCGCTTATGAAACTCCTTAATTCATCCGTACAAATTTTCCACGGTAGATGTTCAAATACTTTCGTAATTCGATATACAGATTCGATATGTGCGGTATGTGCAACAAAAAAAAAGTTATACGATAAGAAATACGAAAAGAAACCATAATCGTAGTGTCGTGGAAAAATCATTCGGGAAAAGCCCGATGAACTACAGTGCAGGGAAAAGTAAAAGTGCTGTCGGGCCGGAGAGCATGGAAAATTTTAATGGGCCATGTGACTCGGCAATGTGCGCGTGGACCTTTAGGACCGTGAAAGGACCTTTAGGTATACGTGAAAACGGCGTCCGTGACCATCTTGAGTCATCGATAGCTGCAAAACGCGTATACCTGACAGGAATACTAAAACTGGTTTAAAAGAATATTTTGGTGGAGAAAGTTAGTCAGTTAGTCGTGAGTCAGTAAGTTGGAGTAGGTCGTGAGTTGCTTGTTACTCAGAAGTTGACCAGTTATACCAATTTAGTTGTTTTAGTTGTATTACGTTAGTACGTTAAGGAACAGCTTCGAGTTAAAAAATCATAGTTTTCTGTTTCAGTCGTTCTAAACGAATCCGTCAGATAAACAAGTCGCTATATAATTTTACAAAGTGGATTTACGTTTAATAAGACCAAGGAATAAATATGCAACGGAACGGATGATCGTTGCTAATATGGTAAACATCTTCGATACGTAAAAGCTATTAAAATTCATATTGTATCAATTTCAAGCTTTCTTCCACCCGCCACTGTGCGTCTCGCGAAAAACATTTGTAGCAAAAATCCAACGTATCGTTTCGAGCGTGACAACGACCATACCCAAATCCACGTCATTCCATACTATCTGACAGCGAACCGTTAGGTTTTCACTCGATCTTTTCACATGGCCCAACATTACACTTTCCCCGTTACGTAGAGCAATCAGGATCCTCCCCTTGCCCCTCGACACCTACAAACGCAACATACAAAAAGAGCAAACATTCGACCACGAGTCTAGTTTTTAGTCTTTGGTGTCGAGTCTTGCGTACAGTTTGGCCGTGATTCGAACTTCGTTGTAATATTATACTCGATCATTTTCGCGAATAAAAGCCCACAAAATTGTAAAAACACGGTCAAGTTAAGTTACTGCTCAGCTACTGTTTTTTTTTAATCATTAATTTTACGCGACACGAGACACGTAGCTTCTAATCGTCGCAACAAATCGCTCGTTTCCATACTAATCGCCGCTAATAACCGAGCCGATGGCGATCGATGCGACGCAACATAAATATAAAAGAAGTACCGTGAAACAGCGAGAGTAACGTAAAAAGAGACGAATTTATTATTAATTGCGCGTATATCGATCGAAGGCGATCGCGAAGGTCTTCGAAATAGGGTTTGCCAGGGCGCACAGGGGTAGTAAAAACTCGTCGAACCGATTGAAACGGCGACGTACGACGGTAAACGTAGACGTTGGACGTTTTTCACGGTATTAAACGTTGCGTAAATCCCGGCTTCTTGTTTAGTCACGCCCAGCCATTGTTACAACGAGATGGAGAGGGCGGAAGGGGGTGAGAGACCAGGATCGTTCGAGAAAATCGCTCGACATCGACATCCACTTCGCTCCACCTTTCAATTACGCGCGGCCTGTTTACTCGCCGGGGTTGGAGGGATGGTAAACAGAGTCATACGTTTCTTTTTAACGTTGCGTTGCTTCGGGCGATCCCTCTCTTCTTGCCTCTCTCTCCCTACCTCCTCCCCCCGTTAATTAGCAGTTTAATTAAATGAAGTTTGCGTTCTTTTGGTCCCTTGCGGGACGAGAGATCGCGGATTCCGATACAAATTTCGTGCCAACGAATCCCGCGGGGAAATGAAGATGGCAAACCTGTATACGCACGTATATACAGTATGTATATATATGTGTACAGAATGTATATATATATAGAGAGAGAGAGAGACAGATATTTTCGTATTCGTATACGATATAGGGGACGGTGTTTGCGA